CTACCGTCCTTTTGCATTGCTGAGGAGAAATGTCTGGAATTGTAAATAACTATTACACACTCCCATCAATGGGCTTGAATAAAAAAAAACAGTATGATCTATGCTATAAAATAAACTTGTTTGCCAGTTTCGCTGTTCTAGTGATTTACAGTGCAGCAATTTGGAAGCTGCAGATTGTAGATCTAGGACAGTTGAGCAAATGCTGGAGGGTTTCAGAAACATACAAAATCACTTACTCATAAAGAGAACTGTAGGCTATTTTCATTGTAAAACCACAGGATGTACAAGTGGGTGAGAATAACCTATTGTTTGTTTAAGGAACTCCCAGAAGGTCATTGATGATGTCTTGAAACATTTTTCCTTTTTGTTTTTCCTTAAGCTTATTTAATATCCAACACAATAGTTGAAGTGATGGCATTTATGCTACGTGTGTTTTGATAGTCTTGTTTTTAACATCCAAGCTTTACATTTTATTTAATGATGTTAGACAGTAAAGAAAAAAAACATGCAAAGGGGCCAGTTGGTTTCCAGGTTGTCTTAAACCTTCTGTAGTACATAATTTGGGTAAAATGTCTTTAAAAAGAACAGATTATACAACTTCAGGTGCAGTACTTGATCTAGTCAATCATTTTTCAAAGTTGTATGTTCCCTAAATAAAACTATTGACTAGATGCAACTCCTATATATTGAAGTGGTACTCACTCAAATAAACAATAATTGAGAGGCATTACAGGAGTACACTGTATTTAAACAAAATGGAAATCACCTGGCATTGTCCTCTGAGCCAATGTATACTATTGATTTATGATTGCAGAGGCAGTGCAAATTTTGAGGGCAAACTAGCAGACTGTTAAAATAATCGCTAACTGATCAAATTAAAATCGAGAATATGTGGTGCCTTTCAGGTTTCAGTTTTGTAAGCCATACAGTATGCATACAGCATGCTTACCCTTGCTGTAACAGGAAATTGTGTCATTGTCTAGACAAACAGTCCTGCTCATTGTTAGCAGCTTTAGTTTCCATAGAAGTGGGATTACACAGACGTTTAGATTAAAAACAATTAGCTTTAAACTGCGTTCATACAAAGGCAGATTTAATGTTGCATTATGAGCTGTAACTTCCAAAATGCTGCATTTCTTCTTCAGGGGACTTCTATAGGCAATGCAACGGCAGTATAGCAGAACTTAAGTGTGGCTACACACCTTTACCCTTAATCTAAAAGTATTTTATATTGCTCTGTCATTTTGTTTAACCATATGATAAAAATGCTGTGCGATTGTAAAATACAGCTATTATGAATTGCTGTGATATCTTCTGTGTTAAAAAAAAAATATCCATTGTAAAAGCTTACGGAGTCGAGCTTTATATTGTAATTAGTGTGGCAGCTTTATGATATATATGTTATATATAGCTTATATGATATACTGTAAGCATTCTTCCATAGTCCTCTGGATACAGATTTTTTAAATTTGCTGTGATGTGATGGGGGGGATACAGTTGTCTAACATTTTCTTAGAAATAGTAAGAAGTTGCTTATTGGATTTTGAGAACATAACTAAATATTCAGTAACCAGATTTGCTGACATCTGGCAGGCATGTAAACTCTGTTCACCAAGTTTTATATTTCAACAGATGACATCCCCTGTTGGAGTCTTGGAGTGATAATCAATGCAAATGTAAAAGTTGTCACATGCAGACTGTCTAGAGGACTACTTTTTTTTGTTTGTATGTACAGCCATCTTAAAAGTTATGAAAGATGTTTTTTTTCTTTTAATTGATTGTATCTGTTGTGGGCTATATTCCTTGATGACTAATGCTCAAAGGAATAGAAGTCCTGTAGAGCCATTAGGTTCTAAGAAAATTGATATTCCACTTATTGGGTTAAATGTTGTGCTATGTATATATAGTATAGGTTACATATAATAATATATAAATATAAATGTATAAATATATATAAATATTTATATAAATATATAATGATTTCATTAAAACTTTATAATATAACATGTACTTAAATTTGCAATTTGGATGAAGGAGAAATGTATGTAGGTGTATTCTTGAAAAACCAGCATGTTCACCCTCTAAGATTCCAACCTAAAATTACTAAGTGTGAAGAAGCGAATTGGATATTGAAGATGGAAGTTTATGGTAGAATCTTAGTCCTTAATGCAGTAGTCAACTGATAAAGACTGAAGCTAATCATAAGTTGAGTATAATCTGTTTATATTAATGTATATGTACAATTTATGGATATACAGTGCATTGCAAAAGTATTCAGAGCTTTGTACATTTTCTACATTCTGTGGCTTTCAAGCTTGCAGTCAAGACACTTTGAAGCACCAATAAATAGTTTTTGCAAACTCAACCTACACCACATGTTAAAGCAAGAAACAAAGTAAATAGTAACACAAAATTAAAATGGAGAAGTCATAAGTCATAATAAGTCTGAAAAACCCCTCTCTCTTTCAGGATCTTCAGTGACATAGTGAATGTCAAGCAGAGACTCAACCGTAAAAGACTAAGGATCTTTCATGACTCGGGAATAAATCTGTAGAAAAACTCAGTCCAAGAAAAGGGTATAAAAATCCCAAAACATTGAATATTCATTGAGAATGGTGAATTCGTTCATTAAGAAGTGGAAGGCTCCCAGATATTCCTAGATCGATATGTCTAAATTGAGTAGCCATGCAAGGAGGAAACTGGTTGGTTTCCTCCTTGCAGAGGCCAATGCTGACGTTGAAAGAGTCTTGTAAATATACTTATGTGCTAATATAAATAAGTAAATGTGGTTATCCTTTGAAGTCTTCATTTTGTGAATTCAAAATTTAATAGGAACTTATGTATTTGCATCATTTTGTAATTTAACAAAATAGAATACTATAGAGAGAATTTCAATACCTTTCTATTCAGTATACAATTTTAATCTGTTATCCGTGAGCTTTTGTCTTAGGGCGCATGACCTTCTTTTGCTGGATACAATGATGATTTTAGCTCGTTTTGGTTTCAGTGTCATATGTTGGTCTATCTTTAGTTGATAGGTTAAAAAGGTGAAGAAGTCTTTTTAGAAAAAGTTTTTCAACCACATTGTGAAAGTTCCTGCACAGGTTCTTAATGTACTGAGTATTTTTGTTTATTCAATCTTGTTAAAGATTTCATGAATGGTCTTGTTTGACTTGTTCACAAGACCAGGATGTCAAGAAAACTATACATTTTTACAATAGCCTCACACACAATTCGCAACAGGAAAGCTGCCAGATTCTGTAATTTCTTTAGGAATTCTCACTGGGCAGGGACAGAGATTTCTCTCTCTTGTTTGGTCATCTCCTTTCTGCCCTGACATAATTGCCTGGAAGACTGCTACTCTATATGGCAAACAGAAAAGTTTTCTCAGGTACTGAAAGGTAATTACAGGGCTGGCTTTGCAGCCTTCCAGCAGCAGTGTTCACTAGGCACCTGCGGGATGAGTTGCCTGCCATTTCTGTTTTAATTTGCAATATCAGGTCTGCAGGATTTTAAAGATGCTACCAGAATGTAAATGAACACATTGGCTCCCATTTGATATTCAATGAGATGTGACTTCAAGAAGCTCTGAAACAGTCCAGTGCACCTCAGAAACAATAACAAGGACACTAATGGCATATTGAAACAGGCTTCTGTAAAATAAATTGCTTTTGGTTTGTTTCTGTTCTTTTTATGTTTAAGAGTGTAAAATTTACAGTCCCAGAGGGGTGCACTTCGTAATGGTTTATTTTATAATGCCATTTAATATTAAATATTTATAATATTTTATTACTAAGGAGGGTAAGAATCTCAGTGATCTTTTGTGGGATTTTATTTAAACCCCATTTTAATGCCTGCTTGTAGTGCCTTTGTGGGAATATTTTCCAGTTGGAAAGCACATATTGCAGCACTTTAGGAACATGACCGTGACTGAAAAATAAACCTGCAGGCTAAATTTTGGGATTCCTGCATCAGATACTGTCTATTCTGAGTTGTGTGGCTGTATGAAGTTTATGGTTTATGACGATCTCAGTGATTCTGCAGCTGTAGTGTTGTTATATTGAAGTAATTTAGCATTTGTTTCAAGTCGGTTTTTTTTGAGGATTAGATGACCAAAGATAGGTTACGGTCAGTAGTGCTGCTGGACTGTGGTAATGATGGATGCATGAACCTAGAATTTTGTAGTAACTTCATGTTGCAATTTTTCTCCAACTAGAACATTCCTAGCATCTTCCTTCTCTATGGTAATGTTATAGCCTGTGTACTCACAAGCCTAAGTTTCCATTTTTGTTGCCGTTTTATACCTATGAAATGAAGGGTCACAGTAAAAGTTAACATAACGTTTTCTTCAGGCATGTCATTACCTTTCAAAATTCTTACAATGCTCAGCATGTTGAAATATTAGCATTGCAGAATCTAAATATAAATTACATGCATGTTTCATTAATCTTTCCCTCTTTTGACAGGACGGTATTGTAGTGAGAGCATGCATTTTATTTTTTCTGGTGCTGAGATGAAGTGATGAGCTTGGCTCCTCTGTTCTTCACCTGTATCCGTCCATCTGTCCATCTGCTTTTCCAGTTCAGGGCTGCAGGGGAGTTGTGGTCTGTCCCATCACACAACTATCACTATGTCTTTGGACTTTGGAAGGAAACCAGAGTACCCCACACATGCATGGGGAGAGCATACAAACTGCATATAGCACCCCAGGTCCAGAATTCAACCAGGGCTTTAGCACTGCGAGGCAGCAATGCTAATGACTGTGCCTCCCCTGTTCTCCCCATTTTGGAAAAAAAAAAGCAAAAATAAAAGAAAATCCTACTGGTGTGATTTACGCATTTGGTTTTAGATGCCTGATACCTAGGAAGTACAAAAATGCTTTATATCCTGACTAAAAAAGCAGTTAACCTAATGAAAGTTGTCTTTTTCATTAAATGACACTGTTTGGACGGCATCATTTATTGAACACTTTAATGCATTTTATCCTCTTTTCTTCACAGATGGGATACCTCAGGTTTATTATTTTGGGCCATGTGGGAAATACAATGCAATGGTGCTGGAGTTGCTGGGACCCAGTCTGGAGGATCTTTTTGATCTCTGTGACAGGACATTTTCGCTAAAAACTGTTCTCATGATAGCGATACAGCTTGTAAGTACTTTGCTTTTAATGTATTGTACATATTCACCTTATATTCTAAGCTGTGGCAGCAGCAATGGATAACAAGAAACAAAACTGTATGTATTTTTAGGTTTCCACTACACATTTATTTAGATTCCTTGTGAGAGGTGAGGGGTATCCACATCTACACGAGCAGAATTACAAGGATAAAATGGCAAACAAAGTGAAGGATAATTTGGGTAGCACTATAGAGTGTTAATTAGGGCTTTGGACTGTGATCTATAGATTAATGTACTTTGCTGAAAGTTGCTCCAGTGTATACATGGGGAACTTTCAGGGTCCTTTACTATAAATTGGAATTTGTCAGTTGACCTAGTGTGGTTGAATAAAGAACTAAAAATAAAAAAAGCTACTGAGCCTGAGTAAAGGCATAGTACTTGTTCATATATAAATGAATGTTAAAGAAACTATAAAAAAGTTTTTTTGTATGACAGTTTTTGCATGTTGGTTACTAATCCATCTTTTTAAATCAGAATTATCTTATAGACGCTGATAAACACTGACCCTCTTTTCCTTCTTCCTTCAACAGATCACAAGAATGGAGTATGTACACTCAAAGAACTTGATATACAGAGATGTTAAACCAGAGAACTTCCTAATAGGAAGGCCGGGTAGCAAAAACCAGCACATCATTCACATCATAGATTTTGGCCTTGCAAAAGAATACATAGATCCGGAGACTAAGAAGCACATCCCTTACAGAGAACACAAGAGCCTTACAGGAACAGCACGATACATGAGTATAAATACACACCTAGGAAAAGGTAGGGATACAACATAATGCATTCTGCATTTTTATTCATGTTTTTTTTTACTGTCCCTAAGAATTCTCTTAGTGACAGATGCCTCACAAGAATGTGATGTGTACAATTTGGGGAAAAAAATGGCAAATAAAACAAATCATTGATGAAAGTCAAAAAGTATCAAGAGAGGTTGTATTTATATAACATAAGAATGAATATGGACATTATAAATAATAAATCTGCTCCTGCAGCATTTTGGCCTGGGTTTCTTAGTCTACAATGCACAGCCAGCATAAAAAAATGAAAACTATATGCATATCCTTTTAAACATATTACATTTTATTTGTGCTTGTTACATGCTAGGAATTACTATTCCATGTATATCAATGCTAGGAATTAGAATTCATAGACTAAAATAAACATTTTATTTCTGCTTTGAATTGACATTAGGCAGCTTCCGAGAATATGCATTAAGAAGAATATAAACTCTTTTAAATATCATAAAGCTGCTGTTTTTATATCTAGTTACATAATTTGCTTTCAGCTAGGATCGTGTTCGTGCCTTTTTGGTACAATGCAAAATACTAGTCAGAGATGCTGTGGCAGGATTAGAAGGAGATTATTCAATGTGTGAAGAGCTGGTGGAGCATGGCTTAGCAGCAGGTTTCTTGCAACATTAAAACACCATGGAAAACTCAATTGAAAAGGTTGTTTCTTTCAGAGTCTGTATTTAATATACAAACCATTTTAAGCAGACAAAACAGAACAATGATTTTGTTAGTGTCGTGTCTAAGACTTCAATAATAAAAGTACATAAATCTTTGCCTCAAGTGGAGGTTTTTTAAAGAATGCTGAAAATATGTTCTTGAAAGCATTATTTACTCGAACCATTTAACAACACTTCTTATGTTGGGAGTTTTTCTTTGGATTTCCAGTTTCTAAGATCAAAGCATCTGGTTTAATGTGTGCCGCGTTGTGAATAGTTTCTGGCTAGTGGTTCACTGAAATTCAAAACAAGCCTTACACAGCCAGGAATGTAATGCATTGCAATACTGCAGTGTTACACTTGCAGTGGCACAACTCTGTATTTGGTCTGGCAGTGCTCTTAGCAAAAGGGTGGAGATGCTGAGAAATACTGTGGAGACTGTTTCAGCTCGTGTCAAGGAGAATAAAAAGTGAAAGTACTTAATTCTGTAAGATTAATGTTGAGGTATATTTATTCTTAGATATTTTTTCCACTAGCAAGATACTTAGCTCATTTCCAGTTATTTGTAGTTTTGCTCACAAAATAATGCTTTTCATATTTGCTGAAAAAGACCTCCTCCTTGAATTGATATCCTCTCTTTTAGAACAAAGTAGAAGAGATGACCTGGAAGCCTTAGGTCACATGTTTATGTATTTTCTCAGAGGCAGCCTTCCTTGGCAAGGCTTAAAGGTAAGTAGATTTGAGTGGTAATGCATTATCAGAAATAAGTAATTTTCAACATTGTGATTGAGTCTTTTTCAAAACGGTTTTTCTTTAATTTTTCATGGTAGGCAGACACTTTAAAAGAAAGGTATCAGAAAATCGGTGACACAAAAAGGGCAACGCCAATAGAAGTCCTTTGTGAAAGTTTTCCAGGTAGGTTTCTATTAGTTTTAAGATTTTATTAAGCTATTATCGTTAAGTGGAGTATTGTCAAGTGTTCCCTAAGAAAGGCCCTTCAGTTTTATACAAATATAAGGTAAATGTCTAAGAATCAATTAACTCATTAGATTTCCACTACAATTTATACTCGGGTAACTTCCTCTTTGGTTGGTCTTCTTTGCATGCTCATCAGCTTTACCAGGTGAAGGAAACATTCTTCTTGTAGTGTGAATTAATATGTTAACAGCAATAAGGACTATAGTGCAATGGTGGGGAAAAACTGCTGGGGGTTAGAGAACAGCAATAACACACTTTATTGTCCTGAACCTGCTGCTTAATCTTATGAAAGTTAGGTGTTGTGTGGAGTATAATTTCAATTACAAAAAGGAATAAACATTAAACTTAAATATTCCACAGAAATGTATTGCATACCTGTTTGTAAAATATAGCAAAGGAAAGCATTATTTATTATTAAAACACCAATACAGTTCATGTATGTATGCTAAAGTAAGAATATGAAAATTTATTAAACCAATATTTATATTGCTGGTTACACCAACTGTAACTTAAATAAGCATTATATATTGCATGAATGGATTTATGACCTTCCACTGCATATCCACTGAAATTTCTACTTTTAAAAGATTTTTTTATTTTACAATAAAGCCTTAAATCCATTTCTGTAAATGGAAAAAAAAAAACATTTTTCCTGTGTACCATATTGTCGTATATCATTGCCCTAAGTGAATTCATAGAGATTTTATGGTGCAAATATCCTGACACCCATTTGGGAAAAAGTCAGTCTGTTCCACTACAATTAGAGATCCACCATACGGCATGTTTGAAGGCTGATGCGGGCGTGCTTATTGTTAATTTGTCAAACTGACAGTCTGTCTTCATACGCGTTTTTTTAAAACTAACAATTAGTATGCAAAATACATGCTAAACAGCAAGGTAGGATACAGTATGATATTAATTCAGTATAGTCCCTTCGTGACCTTTTAAGCTTTTCTTCGTCTCAGAGCTCAAACATTATAGCACTATCAAGAGATTTTAAATTCCAGCACACATGATAATGTTCATAAGATTGGAACAAAACACACTAATGTTATGGGTAGTCTCTGGTAATATTGTTTCATATTCCTGTGTAAAACTGTTTGACAAACATTAATGCCAATAATTCCTGTTTTGGAAATCTCAATTAGAATTTGTATAAGGTATTCAGTTTTTTAGAGCTTGCTTGGGTTTTTATATCCATTTGATTAAGGATGGTTTTGTACTAATAAGATTTGAAATTCCTGTTATCAGAGGAGATGGCGACCTACCTACGATATGTGAGGAGGCTGGACTTCTTTGAAAAACCTGATTATGACTATTTGCGGAAGCTCTTCACAGACCTGTTTGATCGGAAAGGTTTTATGTTCGATTACGAGTACGACTGGGTTGGGAAACAGCTTGTAAGTATTGTGGATTAATTCATTATTTTGAACAATATTTCAATATTTTGAAGGTATTTCATAATGTGAATATCCTGTGTACTGTGGGGCACTAGTCACCCAGCTGTGCAGTGAAGACCCATGAAAGTACCATTATTACTTGTTTAAATCTGATTAGGACTGGTATTTTTGCCTCATAAAACATTGTGTTTTCATGGATATTTTTTTTAAAATGTGTTTTGTCAGTTAAGTTTATTTTACTATTCTACAGTTTTTGTGAATAGTTGTTTAAGTATGAAATTCATGTGCCTTACAAAGTACATTCATGTAATTTAAAATATGCTGCTCTAGATTTTTTACAGATCACATTTTTAGTCATTTCACAATCTCCAGTGAGTTTTCAACTAATTAGCAGTTTTGTTACATAAAAGGCTGCATATTGTGATAGAAAAGGAGCAAGAAGAGTTTATAATGATGTAATTCTGGTCCTGTGATGTGAACCAGTTTAAAGGCTATAAAATAGTTTTTCTGTTTCCTTACATTATTCTGTGCTTATTTATATTTACTAAAGTAGAGTCTTTCTCATGAGAAGATAATTTAAGGGAGGATGAGGGAATCTGAGTTATTTAGTTTTTTGTTGCTTCTTCCTGTCACCATAAATATTAACCTTTCTAACAGTTATCCCGGCTGAGTATACAAAGAAAGCCTTGCTATTATGGTGCTTACAGAAAATGCCATCATATGTAATTAATGTACTGGGTTCCCATATTACATTTAACTTTTATTCTATTAATACCAACAATTAAGAACACTTGTGTATCAGATTTGTTTGAAATTAAATGTGTTTTCTCCCTTTGTATTATATGAAAAGTTAGTAGTAGACAAAGAGATCTTTGATCCTCCAGACAATTTGTTAGGAGAATTATTCCAAGAATCTTGTTTGCAGATACCCACTCTTAGCTGAGTGTTCTCAGCGGACTAAATGAAATTCTTTGTCATTGTTTGAATTGAGGGCATGGTTTCTTAACTCAAAAACATTTATTATGGTTGACTCCCACCTTTGAAATTTTACAGCAATTTTGACCTTTGAAATGCTTGTGATCAGTTATATGCAAATGTCTTAATTTTTTCTTTTTTCTTTCCCATTATCTTAAAGAGAATGCATGAACCACATTTTAAAAATCTTTTTGATTTTCTATTTTGTATTTATTTAAAACTATCTCTGGGAATTATTTTAGTAATGTGAACCATGTTTTGTCTGTATTTTACCAGTAGTTTCTCCTTTACTGTCAAACCAGTCCAAACGTATCTATCAAGACATAATATCAGTTTTCATTCAAGTTACATCGATGTGTTCAATTTCAGCCCACTCCTGTCGGTCCAGTTCACACGGATGCTGCGCTGTCCTCCTCAAACAGAGATCCACATAGAGATAAAACTCAGCAAGCCAAAAATCAGGTAAGGGCCATGGGGTGAAGTGTTTACTAATATCAGGTTGGATCTTTGTGTCATTTACTCAAATGACTTTGTGTCATTTACTTAACTAAAAAAAAAACTGTTAAGTGCTCAGATGACAGCATTTCCTTCATTGTTTCAAGACTTGTAACCTTACAGTGCTTTGGTACTGAAATAACTGAAATTCAAGAGACTGTGTAGGAATTTTCAAATGATTCAGGAGTTTGAGAAAGGTAAATTAGTAATGTTGAAGAAAAAGAAATTGTAATTTTAAACAATTGTAGCCTTATTCTTTTTTTTGTTTCTTGGGATTTTATTGACTGGATTTTGTAATTAAATGGTATTGGATGCAAAAGCTCTTTTGAATTTAGATTTCAAGAAATGTAAATATTTTCAATTCTTGTCAACCAATGCACTGACCAGCAACTGCAGTTATCATTTCCTGTTGTGAGCAAGCATGAGAAAATGGCTGGTGTTTTGAGAGAGCACTATTTTTGAGTATAAACAAGTGAAGATCTGTGCAGATTACCGAGATGTGTTGAAGTATATGATTGTTGATTTTCTAGCAAAGAATGTGTCAGAATAGTTAGTATACAGTACGTCACTAAATTAATCCTGTTTTCTGAACTTTCATTTTCCACCCTGTATGGGGCTGTTTTGCAAAGGTCATATTTTATTAGTTATCTAGATAACTTACTGTGCACACAGTCTGACTTCTCAGTGATTTCTGTTAATTAGACGTTCCTCGGGGCTCGACACTTTCTAATATATGCCTTGTGGGCTGTTTTAGAAGAGTACTTATTTACCATCAGCACAGTGCAGCCTCCTCACTTTTCTGCTGTTCACCTTATATTTAAAAGTTACTTAAAATACAAAGCATGTACAAGAGCCGTTTATTGACTGCTTTCCAATCAAATTGTAAAATTCAAAGCCCTCATTAGAAATAATGACAAACACATGCTACTACATTAATTGCATTAAGTTGTAGAGTCCCCCATCTTTGTAAAAGCCTTTAAAAGCACTGTAACTTCAATCTATTATCTGTAACAGCTCCAGCAGCTAAGGACCACTATATACGGTATGGAGGTTAAAACTGTTAGGTTAAACTAGTCATGGTATATCGTAACAAATATTAGCAGCATAGTTGTTAGCATTTGTGCTTCACAGCAGTGGGGCTCTGGCTTCAATTCCCAGGGAAAACCTAAGATGCTGTCTCCTTGGAGTTTTTATATTCTCTGTCTTCATGTGGGTTTTCAACCACAGTCCAAAGACGTTCTGGTTGACATTCTGTGCTTTCTGGAAAAATGCCCTGTAATGAGCATGTTTGATTACCCTGCAATTGACTGTCAATCGCAGCTTTCCTTGCACCCGTAGCTTGCTGGGATAGGCTCTGGCATCCTCAGTGACCTGATAAAGGGGTTAGAAAATAGATTGATATAATGACACTCTTTGGAATCAGTACTCAGTGTAACATGCAGGTTGGTCTCCCTCTGTTCTGTGTTCGTAAACACAGTGCTGTCTTCATACAGGAGACAAAGGATATCCCTCGAATGTGCCATTTGAAGTCTTCCAAAAGAATAATGTTTAAAACCAATATAAAAGTGCTAAGGTTGACTGTTATGTTCTGTCTCAGTGAATTGGTAGTATAGCGGTAATACCTGTACTCTATGTCAGTTGAAAATGTAAAGAACTATATTTTTCATTTTATAATGTTTTGCCCTTCTTTGAACATATGAAATCCTGACTTGGTCCTACTTGGGGACCACAGATACTGCTACTCATTCCAAGTGACACCCTGAGTCCCATCCTTCTGTGCTTTGTTCTTCTGTTCTCATTATGTGGTCTTACTCTTGTGTGAAGGACTTGTCACCACTGATGTCTTCTAACATGCTGTATGTGAAAAGGGAAATGAGAAAAAAAGGTTTCAGAATCAATGCGATTATTTCCCTTGACAGATTTACCAAAAATAGACCCAAGGTTACACATTCTTACAGATTACTTAACCATTAAGAATGCTTAGGTGAGAATAGAATGTTCTTGTGCTGAAGGTGTTAATTCACTGTATGCTTTGCAATTTTGAGTAGTCTAGTATAATTATGTCCTGAAATGGAAGAAAAAATGATTTAGTTTACAGTGCCATGTATTAGCTTTTTTAAAGATTGGCCATTACTTAAAATGTCACCTTCATCTAACTGTAGTTTGGTAGCTTTTAATCCCCTTCTAGGTTACTTTTTTATTGTTTTTGGAGAGAATTTCATGTACATTTCATGTTTTGTTGGGGGATATACCTTTAATCTTTGTGAAATTAAGATTATCAAGATGAGAAACTATTTTTTTGTTTGTCTGAACTAAAATTATTTTGAAATGACCTATATCGGGTCAGGAGCTTTTTAGTGTTGACTTTGTGATACTTTTTAATAAACTTGGTATTCTTCTGTCAGACTTTGTTTTGCAGACAACAAGGCTTCCATGAATTTTGGGATTATTTTACTGTGCTATCCATAGTGTACAGCAGTGCCTTTTTTTAATTGTGTATTTCAAATAATAGTCCTCAAACGTGCATATATGTGAATATATATACACCTCTTTTATAAATGCATCTAAAATAGATCATAAAAGCAAACTTTTATTCAGCTAAATACAACATCTATCGGAGGCCAATTGACAGACTGACAATGATTCTTTTCTCCAAGGTGGTCCCTGCTAGACATCCACTATAACCTCAGAGCTAAAATCCCTATTTCTCGAGTCTGTTGTACTATATGAAAAATAATTCTGACTTATACATGCACAGTTACCCTGCCATATTAAAATGAGTACCTTGAACATAACAGAGAATTTCTGTTTGGTCTGCCAGTTCGTGTTGGTGTCACCTTTCTGAATCAAAATCATTTTTCAGGCCTTCTCTGATGCACTAACCCAGTGCATCAGAGTACATACTGCAGTGTTTGTGTGATGTTTTGTATTTGATTCTGCGTATGTCCTTTGTAATGTAGGAGTGGCTCTTATGTGTTCCCCTTTTTCTGGGCTGCTTGCCTGTTGACACTTATGTCATGGCAGCTCATTTTAATGTGGCAGGATTAGGTGTATACTGCTGATACACATTTATACATAAGAGTATATGCTTTCAGGCATGTTATCTTGTCTTCAGGCACTTTTGTTTCAATGATTGGAGCTGATCTTTGGCTAATCACACAGTCTTTTGTTTTATTTTAAATTGAGTAAATTACAATGTTTAAACTTAATTAAGCTTTTGCTTCATTACACATAGCCCCCCGCCCCATCTTTTTTTTTCTTAAAAGATAAAGCTTAGTGCAGAACTTTCACCAGTGCTGGAGGAGGTTCTTCTCAACCATAACTGCTTCCTGCCACTCAATGGAATCTGTTTTTTTTTCTTTTTGTTTAGATCATTACATTTGTTCCTTTTTGTGTGAAACAGGTACTGTATTAGTGGTTTGCAAGTGTCATTCTCATGCAGTGGGCTTGTTGTCTGCATGCAATGCCAAGAACAAGACCTGTGAACGATATGGATTGGAAGTATAGTAGACCTACAGTAGGAGCACTCAAGTTGCTGCGCCACAGTCAGTCAAAAGAGAGTGCTCACAAATGACCTTGTGAGCTTTAAGCATACAGAGCATACAATTAAGCATGAGCATAGTTTTTAAATCAAGATTAATTTTATTTTTTTATGTGAAAATGTTCCATCTTAAACTTCCATGGAAGATGAGATAAAAAAAAATCTGTCCTTTTAATAGTGCAGTAATGGTAATATTCTCTCATGGCTCTATACTATAGCTGAAAAAATGCAGTCTCTTCATGTATGACCCCTACTGAATACAAAGGTGTACTTTAGAGTTTCATGAAAATCAATAATAGGAGAAATTAATGCATTAGTCCTACTTAATGATTGCTTCATCATGGCCTGCATGATTTCCAGTATGTTTTACGGTAGCACTTAAGACTTCATCCGCTGTCATTTAAATTTCTGTAGCTAGTGGACGCATTACATTGGTTGATTTTTGTTTTCCTTTTGCTTTTCATGTTTTTCACAGCCCTTTCAGTTCTTCTGCTTGTGTAGTAGTTTGTCCTGAGTGTTCTTTATTTCTGTGTACGTTGCTGGCCAAAGCATGCCTGTTTTAATGCTCTTGTGGGTTTTCTCTTCCTCCTCTCTCATGCATGCTCTATGCAAATTAAAATGGGCAGTCGACAGACCACAGGGCAGCTTGGGAGCCCCAGCAGGCCAATCCCCACCAATTGAGAGCTCACCTTGCAGCTGACAGACATGGTGGCTCGGTACAGGTATTTCCCGCTTCTTCGCATGACCAGTTTACTCCCTTGCATCCTCTGTGTGTCCCCCAAGCACACCTCTCTTGCTTTCTAGCATGCTGCTGTGTGCAGAGCCAGGTGTTTCCCCACTTTTCGCACCTGTCCTGTCTGTATTTGAATGCTTAGATTACAGGTCTTTGTAAGTCCCTTAGTTTTTTTCTTCACGTCACATAATTTACTAGTTGGAAACAGTGCAAGTGCATTCTTCAAAACCATTTCTCCGTCAAAGATGGGGAGAGACCTAGGTCTCTTTCATGTGACGGAGGTCTTTTCTATAAAACGTTATACACCTGAAAAAACGTTTCCCTTCAGAAGTGATTGATCCCGTGACAGCATGCCCATGATATGATTGGCTATGCAGATGAAGCAATCATTGTTAAAAGAACTTTCACCCATCACCCATGGTGATGCTGCTTTTACACGAAGCCAACATTATGTTAATTAGAATACCGAAGAGCCTGCTTACATATCTGTGTAAAAGAAATGGTGACATGGGCTGTTTTTGGTTTGTTGGGGTGCCACAGGCATAGAATAAAAACTAATTTTACAGATAAAATGAGTTGTATGTATATTTTTTTATAATGGGGTGGATATCCTTAAAATCATATTGCTCATATTTTTTCAGCTTTGATTTAAATCTCTCTGGTTTCACATTTAAATCAGAAATGCTGAATGTACAGTAGACCTACAGCTCTACTACTTATCTTAGCCATACTATTCATAGTCATAACAATGTAGGAGGTTCTGCTGAGTACAAATGTTATCAACTGCAGCATTGCGTGCATTCCTCTCATTATTACTGTATGTGTGTCTTTATTGGAGTGGAACAATGGTAATCCTGGTGAGACAGCTTGATTTAGTGTCACTTGCTCATTGTTTAACAATTGTATAATCCATTTTCAAAGCTGTGAATTGACTATAGAATCAGGCTGTTGGGTCAGTCCTTTAATTACTTCAGAGATATACAGATAAGAATATAAAGTATGTTGTATATTTCGTAATGGAGATGCCGTAAAGGAATCATTGCCCACAGTTATTGCACTTTATACAAATGAGTACAAAATGCATTTTGTTTTCATGAACAGTATATTCTGTAAGAAATGTTTTTACAGTTAAAGGTTTGTCTAGTAAAAACACTTTTTAATTCTTTGTAGAATGCAGAATGCATGGCATTCTTATTCAATCAGTGCTAATCTGCCTTTTTTTGTTTGAAGGTTACAATTATTTTTAAAACTATAAATCCTGACTTCCCCCAATTTGTAATACAATTTGTGTGTTAAATACAAGGTTCAAATGAATGACTGTCATGTTCTTCTAAAAATGTTTGAACATATCTCTAAATGTACCTTACCGTGTTTAGCCTTAGGCTTTTGAGACTTTTTTTCTCAAGTTAAAGCTAAGGTTCTTTACATCAGTAGGACCCCTTTATCTCTATTTTTATCTTTTTTTTTTGCTCATTAATTAATGATCCTTTTTGTGTTTTTAAAAGAGAAGTCCATTGATATCTAATCTGTGCTGTGTTAAGTTCAACATTTTTTGTTAGGTTTGATGTTTGTGTAGAGTTACAGGATATTTTTCTGAATGGAAACAGTTACTTAGGCTTCAGTTTAACACTCTGGTTTGCTCGGAAGACATCGTGTTAAAGGTGTGGCTTAGGTGATGTTGTCAAGTCAGTCATGCCTGCCTTTTGGGTTTATAGGTGGTGAGTTCAACCAACGGGGAGCTGAACACGGACGACCCCACTGCTGGACACTCGAACGCACCCATCACTGCACCCCCAGAAGTAGAAGTAATGGATGAGACAAAGTATGTGCCTCTTCATTCTGCCACTCTGCAGCTCAGATTTAAAAACATAATTTCTGAAATCTGATGCTCGTCACTGCTTTAGTGTCATGTGTAACACCAGAGAACATCAGAAATTGCAATCTGTTAAGCTTCAGTGCCCAAGCATCAATTTCTCTCCATGTGAATAAAGCTGGTCATACTGGGTCAGGTCTGGCAGTCTGTCAGTTGGAGAAATCTGTTTATGAGAGTGGAGCGGACTGTCCCAGTATGTGCTATTGGATGATGTGCAAGGGAGCCCAGCAGTAATGTGGTATTGAATTAGTTTACTATGTAAAACTCCTTATTTTCTTGGATGTGGATTTAATTTTGTATGTTTTGTTACGTTTCTGCTGCTGCTTTTGCTGCTTATGTAATTTGACCTGTCTAAAACGAAGTCTGCCCATAAGGCAATTCATTCAGTTAAATCTGTTTTCTCTCCTGGGCTTTTTTTCATTTCTTTTTTCTCCGTGTTTTTCTTTTGTATAGCTGCCAGAAAGTGTTGAACATGTGGTGAGTTGCTCTAGACTATCTAATGGCATGTGTATCTCCAGAAAATAAGGCATTACTGTATATAGGCAGCTTTTATCTTGTAGGAAATTATATGCTTGCATATATGTGTAAAATACAGAATAGGAGCAAAATAAGATGTACAGTGTGCAATTTAAGGCTTTGGCCACCTTATTAAGGGCTTTGGGCCATCAGGCAAGTTACTATAATTGCTTATTCTGTGTTCCAAGCCCTGGTTTCTGATTGAAACCATGATCATGCTTGAAAACCTTTTAGTACAGTGCAGTATTTTAAGAGATATGTGTTCTGTGGCAAATTAACTGCTTGCGTGTGCATATGTGTTTGCTTGTAAAAACATCAGCAACATTGCTAGCAAGGGAATCGAGAACAAAAACCCTTTTCACATAAGCATTACACCTCTTTCAAAATGAGAGTGGCAAGCTTCATAAGCGTATGCAGTGCAATATCTAGCAGCAGCGAGTCACTCTTTAGGATACTTGTGAATTGGTACTTGTGAATTGGTGAACATGGAAATATTTGTTGTTCACACTTACAATTTCCATTCCATAAATTAGAGTTTGAAAGTAATAAATTTGGCTTTGGTTCAGGGGATTAGTGGAGTGTCCCTGTATTGGGTTCTGTATTACAGTCACTGTTTTTCTCAGTTGTATCAGTGATCTGGATTCTGGTATACTTAGCCAATTTTTCAAAAGATGCCCAAATTGGAAGATTAACTGTAGATGCAGGAAGTCAAAATTCAAATTCAATGGTAATTCAAAAAAATGTACAATTTTAGTCCAAAACCTAGAAGGCAGCACACAACCTAAATAGGAAAACAAACTATAAATAAAAGATAAATAACGAGATTGACAAAGTAGTCAAAGGTGGCAAACAAGATGTTAAGATGCATGCTTATAATTGTGGAATTTAAAACAAGAGGATGTAAAATTAGACAGTGTACTAGTAAGATGTCATTTAAAATTGTGTACAGGTGTGTTCAAGTGGCTTTATCAGTAAAGCTGCTTGCAGTTTCAGCATTGGGTCATGTCCCTTGCCAGCTGCCTCTGGGATTCCCCAAAAAGCTGTACTCGGCCATGGTGCTCTTAGCTTTTAGAGACAGTGACCCCTGTGGCCTCCTAGCTGGTTGCAGCCTTGTGATGCAATTGGTGAAGGATGCACCTCTCCTCTAGTTCATGTTGAATGTCTAGTTCAGGGCTATGTTGCCTGTGACGTTAGAAGACAAGTGGCTTGAAGGTGGGCAGGTTGGAGGAGTTCTACTCTTTCAAGAAATAGCAGTATTAGACCCTCAGATCAGTTGGCTGCTACCAACTGAACAAGTTAGATGGGTCAAATGGCTTATGATATAATTCCTATTCGGATATTACTGTCACAGTCTGGAAACTTCAATGTAAAGAATATGCAAAATGTAACTTATGAGCCCTTTTCTTCCAAATATTCCTTTTTATACTGGGTCAACAGGTTGGAATTGACACTTTTGATTGGTTAACACTGACACAATGGAAGTCTCCAAGGATAAAGGATGCAGATTTTTTCTAAACAGTCCTTTGCTAGCAATGCCAAGGAAGTGAATCTAAATGTCTTAAAATGTGCACTGTTTGAAGTGGTTGATATTGTTGTATTTTAAGAGACTAAAATCACATTGATATGTACCTTAATGAAAGAGCTTGTTTTAGCAGTGAGGTTTAGGGTTCTTCTGTACATAGGATTTTAGAAGACTATAAATGAGTTAAATATCTAAGGAGTAATTGAATATAAAATAGACTATTTTAGACAGCTGAATAATTTTAAAAGATGACCTTCATGCTAATGAAAAGTGACCATATAATGTTTATTTATGTATCTTTATTAAGATTGAGCGTCCAATTATCATAGGCTTTTAAGTTCCTAAAAAAGTTTTTAAAGGATACTTTGCATTATAAAAGTCTATTCTAAATAGTACTCGGTAGTCCTATTTGTCCATAGTAATAACTAAATATAAGAATGCACATCAGTATGCTAAAAAAGGGAAAGTCAACAGCAAGATGATCTGACTGTTTTTTAAAATGGTTTCTGAAACGGGATAATTGTAGTGGGTCAGGAATAGGCGCTTAGCTGTTTCATGGGTACAGTTGTAGAAGTTTAACGTTGTAGTGGTTACGGCCTGTGCTGTACAGCTGTACAGTTCAATGCAAAGAGCCACAGGAACACATCTGTCTGCTAATTGGATTTTTTTTTGTGTGTTCTTTCCAGGTGCTGCTGCTTTTTCAAGCGAAGAAAAAGGAAAACAATTCAGCGCCACAAATGACTCTGGAGGCGAACAGACAATGGGGAATTACTGACATGTTCATCTGCGGCCTCCTGATCACAGAAATCATCTCGGCGGTGACAAAGCAACCAAGAAAGCATTCTCAAAGGGTTCCTCCTTAGACATTACATGGCGTATCCTTCGGTTTAGTTGTCTACAGATATGATTTTTTAAAAGTATTTTTATTCTGCCCAGTCCTCTGGAAGCTTTAAAGATTCTTTCAAACATATCTATTTATTTTGAAATTTAAAACCGAAAAATTAAGGGTCACGCTGTCCCTGGCATTTGCCAAATCTTTTTTTTTTAAAGTAAAGTTGAAATGGAGAATATTTTTTTTTTTCCCCAGTCATATATGGAATGATACAGGGAAGTCCAGAGATGGAATAATGCATTTCATTGATCATCCTGCAAAGGACATGGATTTTGCATTAGCTGCAGGGTTGGAAGTTTTGACTGCAGAGGACCTTCCCATGAGAAGAGATGAAAAAAGAGAAATGTGCTGTCTTATTCTGACCAATTTAGAGATTATTTTTTCTCATTCTTTGGGGTTTTCCTTTTTTTTACAATAACTGCACTGATTTTTTTCCCCTTTCTAGTATTAATGATGGTACTGTACTTGTGTTTGGGTGTAGCAGTACATTCTTCTTTCTGCAATACAGTTGGTACAGCCACTGTCCAGAGGTACCTATGAAGGAGTGAACAGATACTATGATGTAGTGTTTTATTTTTAGCAGATGACAGATCTGAGTGCGTTTGGTGGAGTACATACAACATCCGATGGCCATGAATTCATGAGTGCTCCTGCCTCTGAAGTACCTCAGATGGGGATCCAGTGTAGTAGAAACAGCAGCATGTGCTTGTTCAATATTACAAAGTGTTTGTATTATGTAAATTGTGCTTCCTGAAGAATTTTGTGGGGATAGAAAGACACAGTATGTAATCAGAGAGGAGCGTGCTTGAGACTTGAAAATAAATTAACACAATTATGTTTTAGGGAAGTTTGGATTCAGAGTTAAAAAAGGGACATTGTGGATCATCGATGAATGTATATCTGGACAATGCTGGGGTAGTGTATAGACCAAAATATCTTTTAAAAACTGGAGTTTATACCTGTTGCTGGACAACAATGATTACCCTCCATTAGATGACAGCCTGGATGTGCCATGAAATGGTGTTTAAATCTGCCTGTACAATTATCTGTGCTTTGGTTTATGGTATGTTAGGAAGAATAATGGAGATAGGTCAGACAATACTGCCTTGTGCATACAATAGATATAGTACCAGTGCTATACTCTTAAACCTTTGACGCTGCCAGATAGAGATTTCATATGACTGTCAGAGGTGTCACAAAAGAGACAGCCTGGTACCCCCCCCCCCCCACATACAGTCCCTAGAAGTGCCTGCATTACGAACAAACCAGCTCTTGTATAATAAAAGGCCATTCATTCCACTTTCCATTCTGTGCTTTCAGTCAGATAATAATGGCGAAGGTGTGCTTGGAGGACTTTTTTCTTGAGGAAAACGAGATGAAAAATACTTCAGTAATGGAGAGCACCACAGGGGGGAAGAAAACAGATTTTACAGGGATATATGTACAACATTTTGAGAGATGTAGTGCTTTCTGCCCAGTCAACATTGCTGCATTGAGCCATTAAAGTCATAGCAGAAAAAAGTTATCGTCGTGAACGCACACCTCTTAAGTTCATTATGTTTAGGTTGCAGGTGTCTCTTTTGTTTTGTTTTTGTTTTATCTGTCAGTCACAGAAATTACTGGCTGAACAGATCACTTGGAATTGTGTGCATTAACCTGTAATTTGATACCTTGGCATTCTCTGTACCATTTCCTCTAAGAATTTCTACTTCCAGATATCTTGCGTTGCTTTGTTTTCTGTCCTACGGAGTGCTCTCTTGTAACCTTTGATCCAAAATGTTGCAACTAGCTCATTTAATATTAAAAATGTCTTAAGAGATCAATTATTATGTAAAATTCCATTCTATGGGCTTCAAAAATAAAGGTCTGGGGAGCTTGTCGCACTGCACTGAAAACACCTCAGTCTCTGTAGTAATTTGACCAAATCCTTATTTTAACCTCTATTTCTGTGTAAATGTGTGAAGTATGATTTCTGTATTCCTAAAATCGTACATAGTTCACTTTTTTCGTAGGACCTCCTCTTTGCCTGTGCAGTGTTTATACAGTCTGGACTTTTCACAGGTACCAAGCTGTGTGCGTGTGTACAATTACTGCAGTTATGGACTGTAACCTTAAGGAAGTTAAACCTTTTCATTTTGCTGCAGTGGAGGCCAGTGCATATAGACTTGCTTGTTACCAATATTTAAGTAATGCGTTTGTATGACCTGGATTTTTAATTTTATTTTGTATGTTTTTTTTTTCTGGCATTTCATACTGGTCCTAAAGGGGGTATTGCAGCCATGTTGGGTTTAGACCGACAATATTGTGCATTCATTGCTTTCCTATTCATACTAATGAAGTCAACTTTGCCTGACTGTCTAAGTAATGTAATACATCCCTGTTTAAGAATATGTAACTGAGGAAAAATTAATAAAAGTAGTTTTTTTAATATTGGTGCGTCCATTTAATTACAAAAAATGATAATATACATTAGGCACAGATCTCAGTCTGGTTATAATTAATATATTTCTCTGGGTGGAAAAACATTAATGGACACTCACATCTCACCTAAATCTTTATAAAATCTTTTTTGGAGGGGTTAAATTGCTTCTTTTAGAAAATAGGAAGCTTTTAAGTAAGAAAAAATCCACTCACCTAAAGACATCAAATCTATCAATTTGCTGTACAGTAGATTTGAGGTTTATTGAGAGTTTAAATATGATTATTAAGGCATCCCTATTTTCTGTCCAGCTTACCAAGAAAAGAAAACCTAATTGGAACTGACTATCCAGCTTTAGACAACAAATTTGAAGGGAGATTGCAAATCTTGAAGTAATTTAACATTACAGTTATTACTATATATGTAATTGCAGATGGGAGCCATTTGATTTTAGTCAGCCACGTCTAATCTGTGGTTGTGTATGCTGTTTCATCTAGTAGTGTAATAAGGCTTGCAGTATATGGGTGAGATAATATAGGGTTATTTTTGGTTTTAAACTGGTCATAGAAGGAAGTAAATTCTCTGACCTTTATTCCTGAAGTAACATTAATTAGTTAAAAACTATATTTTGTCATATTGAAGCAATATAATTCATGTTCTTCTTAACTTAGTGTGTACTAATATGACAACTACTTCTACATTGTTGGCAGGAAATATGATCTCTGGGGAAACCAGAAAGGACAGGAAACTTGCCTGCTCAACTGTGATCAGCTCAGGAAAATAACAGTTAATAATGTATGAACTGATAACAGTGCATTAACTCCACAGACCACTGTGTGTTAAGAATGAACACTTCCAAAGCCTCTTGAAAAGGAATTAGTTTATTATTCCTGGAATTACGTAGTTATTGTTTATCCAGTCTAAATGTAGGTATTTTATTCTCCAGGAAATTTATGTAACTGAAGCCCATTTAAAACATTTCTCCACTTATTCACTCAGCAGGTGTCAGAAAGATGAATAAAATGTGCTGTTGAGCATTGTTTTTTAAAGCTGTTTTAAATGCTGTAATGATTAATGAATTTGTCTGAGGTTTAAAAGGGTATACTTAGCTTGTGTCCGACTTCTTTAATTGTTAAAGCCACTTAAATGACTGAAATGTTCATTTGCACAGGATGCTATTTATCAACTGTTAATGGATGTAGGATGACTGGGTAATTTTATATATAAACACAGACCCCTGATTTTACCAAGAGTACTTAATTAAGACATTACTGTTACATGTTCTGTTCTGAAGATTTTATAGCAGTGAATTGAGAGGAGTGATGTTCTTCGGTAGCAGTAGCAGGTAATACTGTAATATATTTATATATAAAGTATTTCACTATTTTATAATTATGCAGTTAAAGGGTTCAATATCCTCTGAAAAACAACTAAGGTTCTGTATCTATTGGAAAAAGACCTCATTGACAAAATTGTTAGGTGCCACTATAGTTTGTGTGGTTCTGCATTTTATGTACTTTTATGATATTGGGTCATCACAGAAACTCAAAAGAAAATGCCTATCTTATACTCTCCTTAAAATATCACACAGAAGGATCCTCAGCCTGCCTTTGAAGAATTTAGGTATCTATAAGGCTTTGTGACCGCACAAGTTGATTTATTTGAGATGAACACTGGCACAAATATAAACTTACGGAACCTTGTTTTCTTTTGTGTCTTATGTATGTTTCATGATCATACTCTGAAAAAATCTTAGCATCAACCAGCAGCCAGTTATAAGTTTTAATATTTTACAATTATTTCACACAAAATATGTTTTGTTTTTAAACCATTGCAATTTCACTCTGTTGTGACTTTTTGCAATACCACTTTCTCCGATATGTTAGATGATTAACAATGTGCTCATGAGAGTGTATGGCTCATCAGGTTCAGTTGGTTGATATAGCATTGCAATTAATTTTCTTTTCTTCTGTGAGCTGTTGATCCGTGTTAGTTGGATTTGTGTAGTGTTAGTCTGTTTTTTCCAAATAATACCTGAATCCAAATGTATTTTTAAAAATTCAAGAGAAATAACATCACCCAAAGGAAAAATGCATTTAAAGATTTAAATTACAGTCATGGAGGTTGTATGTTCTCCCTGTGTTTGTTTGTTTTTCCTCCAGGTGCTCAGTTTCTTCCTGCAGTACAAAGACACACTGGTGGGCTAATTGGTTTCTGGGAAAATTGGTCCTTAGTGTGTTCGTGTCTGGTTTGCGATGGACTTATGTCCCATCCAGGGTGTATCCTGCCTTGCATCCATTGCTTGCCAAAATCGGCAGGTTTTCCCGCAATGCTGAATTAGAAGAAGCAGTTACAAAATAGTTAACCCACTTGGCTGAGGGCCAACCACCTTGCCACAGGATGAGGAAGTTAGGACTGCAAAGGTGGAGAGTGATGTCATGGAGAATTACTAGAGTAGCCGAGGTATTGACCCTATTAAAATCCAGGTAGTCCAAACCAGCAGCCTAATTGAAGTTATACAAACATTGGTGATGCTGTATAGATATTGTCTTTATGGATTTCTTTCCCATTCCCTTCATAATATCTGAATAAGCTCCTGTTTGAAACATAAGATGCAAAATTCTAAATATTTTTAATAACTCATCCTTGAATTAACAGAAATCCTTCATCCCCATTTGTCAAGAAATTGTCTTGGAAATCAAATTTACTCTGATCAATGTCAAGCTGAGCTAATAAAATCAGACGTAATGTACAGCAAATGCATTTCTATGCCAAAGGAAGAGATACAAATAATTAACTGAAAAAACAAATGCATAGTCTAAACATTCATCGATTCCATCATCTCTTGATTTATTGTTCTTTTAGAAAATAGGATTGAGATTCAGCATTTTTCAACTGTCCTTCAGAAATAAATATTTTATATATTAACAATATACCAAGGATGGCAAATGTAATACATTTTTTCTAAGTCTTAACTTTATTAAGCATCTCAGCTAACATTATTAGAATAGCTTCTGGGTCAGACTGTATTGCACTCAATGATGTCTTTCACAAAACAAATTGTACTCATACAAAGAACTTTTGTAAGGGTAAATCACATTTTTTAACAAAACATCCCATTCAGCCAAAACGTGACTGGAGGCAAGCACAAACAATACACAAAAGGCAGGCTGCACCTGTTTCAGCAGGCTGCATCAATATCAGCTGGCTATTGATTTCATGACTGAATTAATACATAAAACAATAATACACCTATTGAACAGCAGAATTTAAATGACATCTTGGCATCTCTTCCGTATCGCATAATGGGGCTGGCAGAGGTAAAAGTAAATATCTCCCATCACGTTTATTAAGACCCCTGAATATGACAATGGATCGTATTCATGGTGAAAACGGAAAATAGTTTATTTAAAATTGCATCCATTATGATTGGTTACTAAGACTTCTAGCTAAGTGTATCCCTTAACAAGATGAGTTATAGCAGGAACAATTTTTACCTTCTGGTCCTGATTTTTCAACAACTGTATATTCAGTTGTAGTTTGGTTAGATCCTAATAAATGTGAAAGACGGACAAAGTATGCAGAGGCAAAGTATATTTGGTGTACCTCACCTGGCGGAGGGAATTTGGCTGCCTCACTGTAAGGATGTATAGCGGGGATTGAGCCAGGGAGCTGCTGCAGGGGTGTAGGTGGGGTGGCGGGAGCGGTATGAGGGACACGCTCTATGGGAAGTTCCGGGAACGAGAATTATAATCTCAGGCAAGAAGAAGTGTGTGCGGTTAGGATCTATCCTACCTCCCAAATTGCTGTTATAACTTTGTTATAATTCCATTTTGCCAAGCAGGTGTCTCATTCAGGGCTAGTGTGGGTATTGAGGCACCCAACGATGAGGCTGAATGTCCTGGCTTCCAGGCCATTGTTTTGGCATCATTATTCCTCATTGAATTTGAATGTAGTGGTTAGCATTTCTGCCTTTCAGCTCTGGGACACTGGGTTCAATTCTTGGGGTTTTATCTGCATGGAATTTGTACAATATGTGCTCCTCATGTTTGCATAGGTTTGGCTGGGTACTCCTGTTTCCTCCCACAGCCCAAAGACATACTTGTAGGTTAATTGGCTTCTGTGAAAATTGACCCTAGTGTGGGTGTGTATGTGTTTGTGTCTGTGTGTTCCCTGTGCCTGGCATGGCATCCCAACCAGGATGTACAATATCCTGCCTTGCGCCTGCATTGCTTACCTGGATAGGATCCAGCTCCCCATGATCCTGTATTTGATAAAGCAGTTAGAAGATAGATGGATAAATGCCTGATGAAGAAATCATTCCTGTGCTTGAGACTAAGCCCTTGAGATTTCATTTACCTTAAGCTATTTGTGGGTTGTATGCAGTATACAGAATGAAAAAAAATGTCTGTGACTTTCTTTGGGATGGCACACTGCCTTGGTTGTTGGCATTGCTGCCTCAGAATTCCTGAGTTCAATTCCAGAATGGGGTATCAGTTGGTGGAATTTGCATTTTCTTCTCATGTTCACTTGAATTCCTCTGCATGATCCAGTTTCTGCAGTCTCTGAACTAATGTCTCTGAATCATCCCTGCAGTATATACTGAAGTGTATTTCCTTTGATAGACTGGCATCCTGTCTTAGGTGTAGAGTGCCTTATTCTTCTCGGACAGCCTCTGGGTTGCTGCTGTTCTTTCCACAGATAAATGACTTCCTGATAATGGATGAAAATGAAATGCAGTTAAACCTTCTTTTCTATGGCTGTGCTGTAGCTTTTCCTCACTAAAAGGTAATTGTTTCAGCACACAATTATTAAATTGTTACATTCACCCAGAGGGACATGACATAGCCTTTAATGGAGTCAGACAAAGGAGTCTTCCAAATTAGGTTCCAGCTAGTTACATGCTATAACTTATCTATCATCAATATTTTGTCTTTGATTTTCTAAAATCTAAAATTGCAAAACCAACTAGGTGCATATGTTTCAACATCAAAATAATATATTACTTTAG